AAAATACTTTTCCCAGCAAGACTCTCATTCATAATAGAAGGAACAACACACAGTTTCACAGACAAACAACAGCTCAGGAACTTCATAGACTCAAAACCATGGTTACAAGAACAACTAAATGGGCTACTTTAAGGCAAGAAAGGCCCCTCAAATACACCCAATTTTAACATAACAATGGGACAAAATCCCATAACAATAATCTCTCTCAATGTCAATGGGCTAAACGCACCAATTAAAAGACATAGAGTGGCAGGATGGATTAGAAAATTGAACCCAACATTCTGCTGCCTGCAAGAAACGCATCTCAATAGTCAAAGCAAACACAGACTCAGAGTCAAAGGCTGGAAAACAATCCTACAGGCAAACAGCTCCCATAAAAAAGCTGGAGTAGCCATCCTTATATCAGACCACATTGATTTCAGAGTGAGGAAGGTCATAAGTGACAGTGAAGGCCATTACTTATTGATCAGAGGATCTGTACAACAGGAAGAACTTACAATAATAAATGTATATGCACCTAATGAGAGACCAGCAAAGTACTTAAAACAACTACTCATAGATTTGGAAAAAGACATCAATAGCAACACAATACTAGTGGGAGACTTCAACACTGCTTTGTCACCTCTTGACAGATCAACCAGACTCAAGCTTAGCAAGGACATACTTCATTTGAGGGAAACAATGGAAGAAAGGGACTTAGTAGATACATACAGGACACTTCATCCACAAAAAGCTGAATACACATTCTTCTCAAGTGTACATGGAACATTCTCCAAGATAGACCACATGCTGAGCCACAAAACATGCCTCCATAAAATTAAGAAGGTAGAGATTGTATCAACAATCTTCTCAGACCATAATGCGCTGAAATTAGAAGTAAATCACACACAAAAACAGAAAACTAAATCAAACACCTGGAAATTAAACAGTGCACTATTGAACAACGAGTGGATTAGACAGGAAATCAAAGAGGAAATCAAAAGATTCCTAGAAACGAATGAAAATGAGAACACGAGTTACCAAAACTTATGGGACACAGCAAAGGCTGTGTTAAGAGGAAAGTTTATAGCTCTACAAGCATTCCTCAGGAAGGAGGAGCGAGCACACATAAGTAACCTAACCTCACAGCTTAAGAGCTTGGAGAAGGACCAAAAAAAGGAGCACAACCCGAACAGGAGAAAGGAAATAATAAAACTCAGAGCAGAGATTAACAAGATGGAAACCCAAAAAACAATCCGAAAGATCAATGAAACCAAGAGCTGGTTCTTTGAGAAAATTAACAAGATCGATAAGCCTCTAGCAAAACTCACAAAGAAAGGGAGAGAGAAAACCCTAATAAACCGAATCAGAAATGAAAAGGGGGTCATTACAACAGAAACCACAGAAATTCAGAGGATCCTCAGGGAGTACTTTGAGAAGCTTTATGCCACGGAACATCAAAACCTCGAGGAAATGGATAAATTCCTAGACTCCTACAGACTCCCAAGGCTGAACCAAGAAGACCTGGAATACCTGAACAGACCTATCACCATCAAGGAAATTGAAATGGTAATAAAAAGTCTCCCCAAGCACAAAAGTCCTGGCCCGGATGGATTCACTAGTGAATTCTTCCAAATCTTTAAAGAGGACTTACTCCCAATACTCTTTAAGCTTTTCCACGAAATTGAAATATCAAAAACACTTCCAAACAGTTTCTACGAAGCAAATATCACACTGATACCAAAAGCAGACAGAGATACCACAAAGAAAGAGAATTACAGGCCGATATCCCTGATGAACACAGATGCAAAGATCCTCAACAAACTACTAGCAAATAGAATCCAACTACTCATCAAAAAGATCATACACCATGACCAAGTAGGATTCATCCCAGGGATGCAAGGATGGTTCAACATTCGGAAATCAATCAACATAATCCACCATATCAACAAAAGAAAAGATAAAAAGCATATGATCATATCAATAGATGCAGAGAAAGCATTTGATAAGATCCAGCACCCCTTTATGATGAAAACCCTAGCCAAAATGGGTATAGAGGGGACCTTCCTCAACATAATTAAAGCCATCTACCACAAGCCTACAGCAAGCATCATCCTCAATGGGGAAAAACTGAGAGCCTTCCCTCTAAGATCAGGGACGAGACAGGGATGCCCACTCTCTCCACTGCTGTTCAATATAGTACTGGAAGTACTTGCAATAGCGATTAGGCAGGAAAAAGATATTAAGGGCATTCAGGTAGGAAAGGAAGAAATCAAGCTCTCACTATTCGCAGATGATATGATACTCTACTTAGAGAACCCAATAACTTCCACCAAAAAACTCTTAGAAACAATAGACTCGTATAGTAAAGTTGCAGGTTATAAAATCAATACCCAAAAGTCCATGGCTTTCCTATACGCAAACAGTGAGAGAGAAGAAAGCAACATGAAAAAAACAATCCCGTTCACAATTGTGCCCCAGAAAATCAAGTACCTAGGAATCAGCTTAACTAAGGAAGTAAAGGAACTGTACAAAGAAAACTACAAAACGCTACTTCAGGAAATAAAAGAGGACATGAGGAAATGGAAAGATATCCCCTGCTCATGGGTCGGGAGACTTAACATTGTCAAAATGGCAATACTACCGAAAGCATTGTATAAATTCAATGCAATCCCTATAAGGATACCCATGACATTCTTCAAAGAAATGGAGCAAACACTCTTGAAATTTATATGGAACAATAAGCCCCCACGAATAGCTAAAGCAATTCTTGGGAAAAAGAAAATGGGAGGAATCAACCTCCCGAACTTCAAACTGTACTACAAAGCAGTAATAATTAAAACAGCATGGTACTGGAACAAAGGCAGAACTGCAGACCAATGGAACAGGGTTGAATACACTGACATCTCTCCTCAATCATATGCTCATCTAATCTTTGATAAAGGTGCAAGTAATGTGAAGTGGAGTAAGGAAAGCCTCTTTAATAAATTGTGTTGGCATCACTGGACGGCTACATGCAAAAAAATAGGCTCAGAACTCTGCCTAACACCATGTACAAAAGTAAGATCAAAATGGATTAAAGACCTCAACATCAGACCAGAAACCATAAGGTACATTGAAGATAAAGTTGGCAAAACCCTCCATGACATTGAAGCTAATGGTATCTTCAAAGATGCCACGCCACTGGCCGAGCAAGTGAAAACAGAGATAGATAAATGGGACTATCTTAAACTAAGAAGCTTCTGCACCTCCAAAGAAACAGTGACCAAAATACAAAGACAGTCTACAGAATGGGAAAGGATATTCACCGAATACACATCTGACAAGGGGTTGATATCCAGGATATACAAAATACTGGTTAAACTCCACAAGAAGAAAACATCCAACCCCATCCAAAAATGGGGCAATGAAATGAACAGAAACTTTCTCAAAGAAGAAATCCGAATGGCAAAAAAGCACATGAGAAAATGCTCTACATCATTAATCATCAGGGAGATGCAGATCAAAACCACAATGAGATACCATCTCACACCTCAGAGACTGGCCCACATTCAAAAGAACAAAAGCAACCGATGCTGGCGTGGATGTGGCGAGAAAGGGACACTCCTTCACTGTTGGTGGGAATGTCCACTGGTTCAGCCCTTCTGGAAAACAGTATGGACGATTCTCAAAAAATTAGAAATTGAGCTCCCATTTGACCCAGCAATACCACTCTTGGGAATATATCCCAGAGAGGCAAAAATGTATAGTCGAAGTGACATCTGCACTTGTTTGTTCATTGCAGCCCTCTTTACAATAGCCAGAAACTGGAAGAAACCTGAATGCCCAAGAACAGATGACTGGTTAAAGAAACTTTGGTACATCTACACAATGGAGTACTATGTAGCTCTTAGAAAAGATGAAGTCATGAAATTTACATACAAGTGGTACAATATGGAAAGTATCATGCTAAGCGAAATGAGTCAGAAAGAGAGGGATAGACATAGAAAGATTGCATTCATCTGGGGGATATAAAGTAACAAAGTATGAGATTAATACCCAAGAATAGCTGAGATCAGCACCAGGAGGATTACTCCATAACTTAGAGGCCAGCCGGGTATCCTAGAGGAAAGGGCTATTCAGATAGAGAAGGGAGCACCAAATAAAGGATGTTTGGAGGATCCTCCCAGGAGGGGAGATGCATGTCGAAAGTAGACTATGGACTGAACATGTTTGCCACTCAATGCCTCTTTTGCAGACCACAACACCCAAAAGGAGAGAGAGAACACAGGGGATTGCCCTGCCACAGAGACGGGGGGATGGGGGGATGGGGGTGGGAGGGATATTATCCATGGTGGTGGAAAATGGGCACTGGTGGAGGGATGGGTATCTGATCATTGTATAATTGAAACCAAAGCACAAAAAATTGTAAATCTACAACTTTAAAAAAAATAAAATAAAATAAAGGGGAAAAAAAAAAAAAAAGAGAAAGAAAATGCAAGAAAATGCTACTGTTTCACATAGCATAAAAAAGAAAAGGATTTTTTTTCATTATGATGCTAACAGAATTATTCCCTGGTATAAAAATGTGTAATGCTATACTCACCAAATATCAAAACATATATTATGCAGATCTAAATTTTATTTTATGAAAGAATAAACTTTAGGATGAAAACACTTAAATTGGATTCTGTTGCATCTATATCTCCATCTATATACCAAAAATATATTTATTTGGTGTCTCATTTTTTTTTCGCTTAGCACTATATTATGGGTATCCACCTTTCAAAAGATCACTTACCATTAGTCCATTTTATAAAATATCAAAGAAGAAATAAATTTGTATGTAAGAAGGTACATCAGTGCTTGCCAAGAGTTGAATGGAAGTGGAACGGGAAGTGACTTTTAATTGCTTTTGCATTTCTTTGAAACTGATGAAAACTTCATAAATTTTGATAATGCTGTTAGTTACATTAAAATTTTCAATTATTCACTTTAATTGGAGTAAATTATGTTGTCTGAATCACTCTTCAGACAAGGGTATGGTGTTTGGAAAGGTATGGGCAATGGTGTTGGAAATACATTAATATTTGAAATAATGTGCAAAGATGTTATCTTAACAATATTAAATGTGGTGCAGAGATCAAACCCAGGTCTGCTGCATTTAAGGCTAGAACTATATCCACTGTATAATTGTTCTAGCCCTTAGTCTTTATTTTTTCCTCTCTGAAAAATTTTAAACCAGAATATATTTTAAAAGCTCATTTATGAGTAATAAATTCAAATGCAAACATGTTAAGAATTGGTACAGAGAAACTGATAGAAAATTGGGGAAATTGATATATTTTGCTAGTTAAAATGAAATTAAATATGCATTGCTTAAAATAATTTGGTTCACCTTTAAATTTTAATAGTGTTATTATTTTAGAATATTTTATTATAAGTTACACTATAACTTATATAAAAAAGGAAGAAGTCTGTACTGTCAATTTTAATAATCTTGTCAAAAGTACAATTAAAAACTTTAAGAGACACTAATCAAGGTCGAAGATTTCAGAGTTGTGACTAAGAAGGAAGGGCGTTTAAAGAATCAGTGCTCCAAATTGTTTGTCCGCAGGTTTCATTAAGGTACAAAATCAAGTTCTCAGAGGCATTTTCCCACGGAAATATTACATAACACACTCAATAAGCCCAGAATATCCTCTATTCCCAAGAAACAGCTTGAGATAAATTATTTTAAAACCACAGTGAGTGTAACAATTTTTTGTTCATACTTTAGTTACACTTTGATTTAAAGAAAATCGGCACTTTCCATGTTGTTCATGAAGACCATAGGTACTATTTGCTTACAAGATATGTGAAGATGCACAACCATTCATGCCCAAAAGAAATTATGGGTAGTTGTCTCTATGCTAGCTCATATTATTAAATATAATTTACATGCACGAGGTATGGGGCAACCTTATTTTATAAATAATCAAACTAGAAGAGAACTTTGGTATCTTTGTTTGAATAGTTCAGACTAGAAAATATGACATTCATGAATAGAAAACATGAATATCAAAGTCTAAAAAAAATAAGATAATGGCTTTGAGTTTTATAAATATTCATTGTTCATTGTAGAAAATTAGTTAAGTGCACAAGAGCAATGAAATTTTTTTTCAAATTAACACAATTAAATTGGAATTTAATAAATTCCTTATAAGAAGCATTCACTTTGGAAGTCATAATAAATATAGGTATACATAATTTTAATGTTTAGTCCATTATTAAAGAAGTTTCTTAAAGTATTTGATTCAATTGTAAAAGTCAAATGTTTTTTCTCACATTCTCACTTATTTTTTCTTTTCTTGTTTTTTTTTTTCTTTTTGGTTTACACCCGGAGATGCTCAGGGGTTACTCCTGGCTCTGCTCTCAGGAATCACTCCTGGCGGTGCTTGGTGGACCATATAGCATGCTGGGAATCAAACCCGGGTCGGTTGCGTGCAAGGCAAACACCCTACCCACTCTGCTATTGCTCCAGCGCTATTTTTGATTTTTTAAATAAAAATCAAGACGAGGTAATGTTGGTGAAATTCTAGTTTATACAAAATTCTTAAAAAATCAATCAGAAAAATTTGGAAATACTTTTCAAAATGTACATACCAGACACTGATAAAAGAGAGAGTGTTCTAATAATATATGGCTGGATGTGGAACAGATGAAATAAAATGTTATTTGCATCAAAATAACAGAATAATGAACTATTGAGAGTTACAAAAGTCAATATTTGAGTGTATTTATGTTCATTATGTCTTACATATTTTTTTTCACTTTAGGAAATCAAATTATTGGACGTAAAATAAGTTTTTAGAAGTAAAACTTTTAAAGCAAAAATTAAGTTTAGTTCTACTCACTACAGAGTGCATTAACTATATTATTAACTTACATTATCTAATTTATTAGAATTTCTTATACAGCTAAAACTACCTTTACTGATTTTCAAAGCTCTAGAATACTTCTGAAAATTTGTGTCAGTGCATCATTCCAAGTGGTCTTTGTCCATAACTTTAAAGTATTATTTCTAAAGCATTAAATAAATTGACAATTAATTACTAAGAACATGGATTTTAAAACTTTGATTTTTAAAATAAAATATTATTCTGTTGTAAATGAATTTACTGTGTCATAAAAATTACATAAAATATTTCTTCAACATTTACAACATTTATATGAATTCTACGATCATTTAAAATAATTTTTTTTAGTGGTTCAAAGAGAGTGCAGGAGGTAAGACATTTGCCTTGCATGCATCAGGGATCAAATCTCTTGTACCACCTCTTGTCCCAGAAACACTGCCAGGAGTGATACCTGTGCACAGAGCAGAAGGAAGCCCTGAGCACTGCCAGGCCTAGCCTAACTTTTACCCCTTCCCAAATAGTGATTAAAAATAAAAAGTTCATTTGATAACAAGTCACTTTAGTACAGGAAATAGTTAATGCTAATTTCCTTCCAGTTTTAGGGCATTCAATCTTAAAATATTAGCAGACGTAAGATTTTGTCCTAAAAATTAGTGCATTAATATTTTCTAATACAGCATCTATCTTTTACTTGTAGTATTAAAATGCTTCTGTGGAATCTGAGTTTAAACTAATGAGGATGTTATTATTCATGTGCTAATTATTACTCACCATCTTTGTTTTATGTTTCTCCAACCAATGCATCAAACATAGGACTTAATTCTAAAAGCTAGTCTACCACAAAACACCTTTAAAAATAAACTATCTTGAAAGTTCTATGAAAATTAGACCAAACTTTTACTTTATGCGATATGCAGTACCTTATACATTGTGCAGTACATGTGGCATAATACAACTGACACTCCACCCACATTGACTATGCTGAGACTCTTGTCATCTAAAACTCCTGTCTTCAGATTCAGTGGGTCATTGCAGTTATCAAAGATCACAGTCACCTACAGTTTCCAGCTCAGGAGATAGAATAACCAGAGGGTAACCTATGAAGAGCTGAATCTGCATAATGACTGGAAGAGAAGGCAAAAGGAACCCCAGGACTCCAAAAGCTCTGATGCAGTAACTGAGCAGGAAATAACCTATGCAGAGTTAAATTTTCAAAACTCTTGTCAGGATCCTCAAGGGAATGACCAGCAGCTCCACAGCAGAGGTAAGAATTTTCACAGACACAGTAGAATACAACTGTTCTAGTATTTGCACAAAAGTAGAATAGAGAAAGGAATAATCTGCTCCCTTTCTTTTGTGGGTGAGAATCAGATCATAAAGTTGAAGTATGGCGTTTTAGCATGAAATCTGAGGACTACTTTTATTCAAGCATTGTAATTTGTTGCCTGTTAACTAAAATCTCGTGAGGGTTGTATTTATTGGAAGTGCAATAGATGCAGTATCCAGGGAGAATATTAGAATGGAAGAATTAGTTTTTGAATCCAAATTCATATCTGTTAATCCCTGTGCAAGTGATTTGTCTTGTATAGTAACCACCTAAACATTTGTGTCTATTTTTTATTTTTTGTGTTTTCATTTTCCTCAAGAAGCTTTACTGGAAAAGTATATTGCTGGATCCCTGGTGCTCCTCTGCCTTGTTTGGATGATAATAATTATCATTGTTATTCCCTGTAAGTAAATTTTGGAAAGATTATAAGGAGACTTTCCACATTAATGATTTCCTGTGACTTTAAATATTCATAATGTGAATAGGCAGAACTCTCATTTTTATTTTTGTTCTTAGAAAATGTCTAATACTTTTTCTAAGTATATTAAAAAATTCCGATACAGGGGCAGGAATAATAGTTTAACACTTGCCTTTCACATGGCCACTTGGATTCTCATATGGTCCTGTAAGCATTTCCTGAAGTGATCCCAGAGTATAGAGCCAGGAGTAACCCCTGAGTTTCCAACACCAAGGTTGGACCAATTTGGATGTGACCCCAAATTAAAAAGCAACCAAAAAAAATTCAATACAGAATGATGTGAAAGTTGTTATAGTGTAAAATTTATTATAAACTAATGCTGGACACGATTAAATAGGTTCAGGTAAGAGATGGTGAAATTAGGTATCTTAAGCTTTTGAAATATTCTCCTCAATGTTCATAATTTTATTAGGTTCTTTAAGTAAAATAATTTTATTTTAGCTTACTCTAATCCTTAGCAATTAATAAATGTCTCAAACAATATTTCTTTCAAAGAACTAAAATATTACCTTATTTAAATCAAAATAAACATTTTTATGAATTTTAATTTTTCTAGCTACTGAGATTCAGGAGTCAAAAAATTCATCTCTGGTAGCAGTGACGCAAAACGGTATGTTTTAGAAAATTCTAGATGTTATTAGTACCTTTTATATTTTATCTTAGGTTAAACAAAAACGTAAATAAGGCTGATCAATTGGCTTAAAGAGTTGGATTGCAGGGCTCACAAGTGGGTACCCCAGGTTTCATCCTTGGCACCGCATGGCTCCTTTGTATTTTTAGAAATGACCCCTGGAAAACTACAGGGAGTAGCCACTGTGCACTTCCTCTATGTCCCCCAAATCAGTAATAAATAATAACTATAGGAGAGTATTCTTCTAAGGTATCAATAGAAATATTTGTTTGGAACGAAACACATATCTATTAAGTATTGGTTTAAATTTCTCGTTAAAATTTGAGGAAAGAGCTCATTTTTATAGTCTAAAATGTGATTTAATGACTGAAGACAAAGTAAGGGGTTAAGGCACTTGTCTTGCAAGCAGTTCACCACAGTTCAGTCCCCAACTCTGTGTATGGTCCCTTCCACACCAAAAGAAGTGATTTCTGAGCAAAGAGCTAGCTATAAGCCCAGAGCAGTGTTGATTGTGGTCCTAAACCAAATCTTAGTTCATTGACTTTCAGGACAAATAGATAGTGGATTTTGCTGTGGTTTCTTAATATGGGTGTTTAAGTTAGGGAATAAAAATTCTGTGACTGTGCATATGTGTTTTAAATGTACCACCTCAAGTTTATAAATAAGCACTTATGTTTAACATATCCATACACATGTTTATGTTTATATACATGAGTACATACATATCTATGTATATATGTATGCATATATACATCTGCTTTTGCATGTTTGTGATATTATTTTAGTTAAAGATCAAATAGTTATTGATTATGACTTAATTTTTCCTTAGCATATAATTGTAATCAGTGTCCAAGGGAGTGGTTCATATATTCCAACAGCTGCTATTATATCAGTAATGAAAAGAGAACATGGAATGAAAGTATGATGGCCTGTGTGTCTAAGAATTCTAAGCTTCTTTATATAGATAACCCTGAAGAAATGGTAAGATTTGAAAGCTGTGTCTATTTTGTTAAATGATATTTCAACAGATGTTATGTTTAAAGAGCTCATCAATGTTTTATACATTATAGATTTTTAAGTTTAATATTACATTTATAAATCTAGCTAAAATTTCTCAAAACAATAACAATTTTTCAGCTTTTGCGATTACATTTTTATACCAGGAATGCTTGCACATTTGTTACTTTTTGCTTCACTGGCTTTTATAAAAAAACAGTGCTTTGTTCATGGAGGTCTCCAGAGCAGAGTTCAGGGGTCACAGGGCTGTTCCTCACAGCACTTGTCTGTATGTGGTACCAAAAATCCAGCTAAAGATTGTGCTCCACCCCTTTGAGCAATCTCTCCAGCTCCTGTAGTGCCTTCTTACTCCAAAATAAGTCTTAATTATGTTATCACTTTATCACTTAATCACTTAACTTCCCGTTAGTCGTCGATTTGCTCGAGCGGGCGCCAGTAACGTCTCCATTTGTCCCTGTTGCGTGCTAGTGTAGCCCAATGGCATCTGTTCGCTCCGGGAACATGAAGGGCCTTAAACCGATCGTTCATGATCTTGACGAAGAAGTCTGACCATCTGGTAGGTGGGCGGCCACGCGGTCTTTTGACATCCCGTGGAATCCAATCAGTAACAGCTCTAGTCCAAAGGTCGTCTTTAAATCTCATTACATGACCAGCCCATCTTATTTTCGACACCTTGGCAAATGAGACAGCGTCCCTGATCCTTGATCGTCCACGGATGTCAGAACTCCGGATTCTTTCTCTCATTTGAGTGAAACGTGATATTCCAAGCATAGCTCTTTCTATTCTTCTTTGGGAGACCTACCTGAATAGCGTTCTCATCCTGTTTGCGTAGGGCCCAGGTCTATGAGGCATATGTTAATGCAGGAAGAACAGTGGAATCAAAGAGATGTGCCCAGAGCCGGAGGTTCTTCGTCCTCTTAGCTATTTCTTCGACGTTCTTGAAGGCGTTCCAAGCCACTCTCTTCCTCCTGTGCAGCTCGGGTGCCAGGTCATTTGTCATGTTGACCTCTGGACCTAGGTACACATAGCTGTTGCATTCGGAGATGGTCCTTCCATTGAGAGCGAATGGGGCGTCAGGAACAAGGCTGTTTCTCCTAAACATTGTCTTTGTGAGATTCAGATTTATGTTATCAATGGGCTGGAAAGATAGCACAGAGGGTAGGGCATTTGCCTTGCAAATGACCAACAAAGGCCAACCCACCTAGATTATCTCCACCTCAAGGCAAAGCCTGGCAAGCTACCTGACTGCCAAACACAGTAAAAACAAGTCTCACAATGGAGATGTTACTGGGCCCACTCAAGCAAATCTTATCAAGGGAGCTAGACATTGTATTGCAAATATTTATCAAGTGAAAAGAAGCAAGTCCTTCAAAGTAAGATCTTCAAACAAAGTCTTCCAAACATGGTATAATTCCTTTTGCCCTTTCTATTTGCTAAATCAGTATTCTGAATTTTAATCTACTATAAATTATGTTTTCTTAAACTTGAGCTTCACATACAAGAGAAGATCATTATGTTCTAATTTTCATTCTCATCTATGTTGTTCCTTCTCATTTTTGTGTTTATAGTTTTTACATTTTTCACTGTTCTATTTGATGACATAATATTTTAAATATACGTATTTAGATTTAAAGATATGCATTTTATAAATATTTTATTGAAATCTTAATTCATTACAAAGTGATATTATATCTATAGTATATATTATATAAACATCTAGTATATTTATGAAATGTCTTATGGTTATTGTATTATAGTTACATTAGTTTTAATTATGAAATATTGCAAATAAAAATTTAGGACATAAACATATATAATATATGATAAATTGATATGTGTGTATCAATTTGTTATATTATTCAGTCATTTTCTAATATTGTGAAAACACATTTTACATAATAGTCTTTTGATCTAAAACTTAAAATTATTAATAATATAAATATTATAAATTCTGATGACTGTATATGAGAATTTTTGTGATATAATTTTTCATTTGTTCGGGGGTCACACCCTTGTTTTTTCTGGTGTATTACTGGTCCTGGACTCAACAATTACTCTGGGGACCAAATGGGATGCCCCAAATCAAACCCGGGTCAGCTACATACATGCAAGGCTTGAATCCTGCACGCCATATCATTTTTGGCCCCAGAATTATTATGATCTTAATAGGCATTTTCCTGTTTGGTAATGATTTGGTATGGATTGAACACATTTTTCTGGTCTAAAAGTATTACAATATTTTCTTATGCTAAATGCCTTTATCTTTTGCCCATTTTTCCTACCTTGCTATCTTTATTTTCCTTCCCAGATGTTTTGTCATATTTAAGTTTTAAACTCTTTTTTGTTTTATGAAATGCAAATATGTTATTTTGACTCAATGGCTTAAAATTATAATTTCTATTGGTGCCTTTTAATAATTACCAATTTGATAATTATTTAATTATATTAAGTTTTGTAGAGCTGGAGCGATAGCACAGCAGGTAAGGCCTTGCACGTAGCCAACACAGCCTACCTGGGTTTGATTCCTCTGCCCCTCTTGAAAAACCCTGCAAGCTATCTTGCCTGCATAGCAAAGCCTAGCAAGCTCCTCTGACTTATACTATATACTAAAAATAGTGACAACAAGTCTCACAATTTGTTGTGATACATTACTGGTGCCCACTTGAGCAAATTGATGAACAACGGGAGGACAGTGCAGTGCTATCAAGTTTAGTAATTAAATTTAATAATGATTAAAGTTCTATTTTGAGAGATTTTTATATATTCAGAAAACAAGTATCTTTAAAGATGCCTAATTTGTAAATCGTTTTT